GACACGGCGATGGCGCGTGTATTTTTATTATAATTCTTCGTCTCTGTACTTTTCATTGATATAAAACACTAAGTATATAGAGTAATTAACGTAAATTATGTATATGGATATTATCTATGATACTCTTAACAATCGGGACTCCTTACTTCTTTATTTTACCTTTTTTATTCTCTTTCTGTCTTCCCTTTCTCTATTTTTCTCTCACTTATTTCTTTTACTTCTTTCTTTTTCGTTTAAAATAGCCGAATTGAATATTCGGCTATTTTAAAAGTGTTTAATAAATATGAAATGTATTTTTTTGCTTGGGTTTATATACCTGATAGAAGAAGGCTTGGTTCAACCTAAATTAAATAATGTAGAAATGACTTTTTGTTATATACATCCGAATGTCTATTGTAATGAGTTCCAAACCGAGTTTCTTTTGCCACACCGACGTATGTCTAACCCTACTCAAATTTAACAACTCACTACCTCCGACGTAAATAAATATCGGTAGGCGTCATAACATTATATGGTTTGATGGTTTCGAATTTTAGGGTACGATTTTTGATACAGGTAAATCCTAATGATCTGATTACAGTATTGTTTAAACGCTTCTCATCAATTTAAGTGTATTGTTAAAAGGAAACTGCCTGCAAGTTTTTTTGAAAACTTCCGATAGTTAAGGAAATTACGGAAAATACGTGTTACGCTTTGTAAACAGTGCCTAGTTAGTCTCTTTTAAAGTTAGTTTAGAGTTGTCTCTTTAAAAAAGAAAAAGAAAAAAAAGTTACTTGTTTAAAATGCATATAAAACTTCAAAATGCTATTATTTCTACTCCTATAGTACTTCACTTAGTAGTACCTTCTTGCAAATTAATATAAAAGTAGAAATCGTTTGCTGCGGAATAAAGTTTATAAGTTAAGATACTCTTGTTGAGAAACTTTGTTTCTTTAAAAATAATTCTTAGATGTAAAAAGTTGTATCTGCATGTTTTAATATCATCTTAAACTTTTTTATTTCTTCTGTGAAACAAGGAGCATATTTGTGTTGCTCTTTCTTGTTGCAGTCATTTAAAGTATTTGGTTTTAATATACTAAGATATCACAAGCAGTAGATATATTTTTTAACATAAACATGATTATTAGTTTGCGGCGTACCGAACTACTAAATGCTGCCGCAATGTCAATAGAATCGAAAGGTTTGGCATTACCCAAACCACATGGTAACTACATTTACTGGAGCTCTATTTTATGTTTGGTTTATTTTACTCACTTTACTTTACATTACTCTTTTCAGCATTATACTTACAATCCCACTCCTATACTGTAAATTTCTTTAATAATATTAAAAACAGTACGAAGTAAAAAAATTAGTAATCCACATTCATTTTAATAATAAAAATAACCCGCATCCTTTGTACAGTTACAGCCTAGTCTTTTATCGCCACAAACCTACCTTATATTTTAAGCGTATTTTACTTGTACTTCAATATATTTTACGACTAGAAATGCTACACAAGCGTAGTTACGACCGTCTTATGAAAAGCAATTACGATGCAATATGTATTTTAGTATTAATGAAACCGCAGTCTGCAAGGTTGTCGGTCATTCTATTCATTTCCGTAATAGGATAACACTTCTTAGATATTAAATGCAATATAACCGCTTTACGGCGGTTTGTCAGAACCGAATAAATCTTGCTTTACAGAATAACTTAGTGTACTTATAATCACAATTTGCTGAAATAATACGAGTTGTAATAGTTTAGGTTTCGTTTCAGTTAAGCAAATATTTTTGAAACAGATTTAATACAAACTCGTAGGTGGCTTAAGGTTTATTTTGCTTATTCAAACATTGTTACATTTGCGATATGATGCCTTGTTTCATGCTACAGTAAAATGTGTAAGTTATGTGTTATGACCTTAAGACGAATAGTTTCTAAGTTACGCTCATGATCGCATTATAATATTTTATGAGTCACGTCGACATTGTAATTGTATTTGAACTTCCAGTTTTGTGTTATTAACTTTAAGGCAGACTGGTTTTACAAAAGAAATGTATGTAAAATAAAAATGCCTTTAACTCGGAATCTCTCGTATTTCAAATACCAAGCAGTAAAGCGGTGTCGGAATAGTCATTTTGTCGGTCGAAGCTCGAGCGAGATGTGAGCAAATCTTCGTTTATTACATCCGTGACTGCCACTTGACGCAAGATAGCTGTCTTGATGAGTAAGATAATGTTGGGTGAAAATGACGTTGAGGGGATGAACACAGGTTTTACATAAAACGAAAATTAAAATTAATAGTTTTAAAATGTCAAATAACAAGATTACCCTTGGCGTCGAGAAAGGGTATTTGATATTGCATCGATTTCACTGGCGGAAGTGGAGAAAAAGAAAACCAGGAATATAACACTAACATATCTAATTGCATCAAGACGAACTACGGAAGTTTAACTTTGGATTGAAGGGTAAACATGTGCACAGCGCTTATTGTTCTGCACAATATTATGAATTAGAAGCACCTTATCACTATAGCACGTGCTGTTATCCGACTCAGTTCTAATCCCACGATAATCCAACTCGGAAAAAACCAATACACATTGTTTTTGAATACACATACGAATTATCCGTGTGAACACTTTGCTGTTACTATTTCAATATCGTAATCTGATTCTCGTGAGGTGTTCGCTGCGAAACTTTCCGCTACCACTAGTATTTTGCTGAATCTCGCGAAGTTGATTTCATAAATCGTACGTAATTGCAGAGACAATAAATTGTGTGTCTGATATTGTTATACGTGAGTTGTAAAGAGGAATGCACAACTGTATCTCGATTAATGTCAACAGGCGCATGGCACAGCTTGTCGTCCTGTGTCTACATTAAATAGTGCCTATAGAATATCTCTCCTCTCGGTAAACCAGCTGCATGTGAAATTTTCAAGTTTGATTTAAACGTCGAGCCTCGTTGGGCAGATGGGTAATATTTAGGCCCTACATGTAATTCTTATATTAACATGGACAAATGGATAGACAGGTTTAAAATAAGACTATTATTTATTATTACTGGCGCTGAAATTAATTAATTACATTTTTGTTTAAGATAGGATTTCTTGAGACGCCAGACGGCTATTTCTTGTTTTAATACTTGGAAATACATAAAATTTCTACTGCCTAACTATTTCAAGTGCCTTTATTTTATTTTATTTTGAACGAATATTGAAGTGTGGTCTTTTTATTACCGCGATGTAATTTTTATTGTATGCCTGTCTATAGTCAAAGCTATGTACTTTTCCACAAATGACGCATTTAAAAATAGTTTCCAGCTGATGAATAGTGGTCACCTTAGTGTAGGGACTAAGGTGACCGGTCTTCATAAGGAATAAAGTTAAATAACTAGTAACTCAATTAAGTGACACTTTCGGATAATATTCACAATTTGCTTAACGGTAGGTAAAGATTCTCCTTCCTACAGGAATGTGTATTATCTCTTGTAAAATAATGTAAATGTCACACCGAATTGTGGCTTAAGTTTAGGTGTACCTAATTAAAGCTTCTGGCGCCAGTTGTCACTTTATATCCTGTCTTTCATAAGTCCGTCCTCTTCCTCTCGTCCGTTTTCTCACTTTTGCAGGGCCTCCACCGGGAGGGTGTATACCTTACAATTGTCTCTAGAGAAAGTTTGAATTCCTTTGTTTTATACAGTTCAAAACTTATCTTTTAATACTGTTGTCACTTAAAACATTTTTTTACACATTTTTAAGCATAATTTTTGTTACCTTATATTTTTACAAAGCCACCATTTGTCATCATTCTCATAACGTTGTAAGACGCCCCCAAACAAGGCTATGCTTTGGGATAGACTCATAAAGACTTCACTAAAAACAGCCTTGCAGCGTCTTCATCCAGCACGCTGCTACTTATTTCAACAATTAATAAAGCTATGGAAAATATTCTATTCGAAACACATAGTAATATAAATGTATGCTAATAATAATTACCAGATATCCTTCAAACTTGTCGGTTATACTGAGTTCATAAAACTTGACAGACTCATGACTGTCAAGTTTCAGAGTAAAGTGGAAAACCATTATTTAATTAAATGAAGGGTTCATTTATAAATCACAAGGGAACCAAATATTAAAGATGTCAAAACAATACGTGGTGGTGTCGCCTCGTGTCCCGACAATTCCATTGATGCTATTCAATAAATTAATCCGTCAAAACCGATCGCAATAATTGGAACACACCTCAACAAGAAATTTGAGTACGTTCGCTATTTTTTTTTGTTTTAAAGTGAATGATGAATATATGAATAATTTGATGCATCATAATTGTCATATTGAATAAGCGTATCTTTATTAAATATATTTAGTGATTGTATACGATTTTACTCTTGCTTTGCCGGGAAAAATAGTTTTCTTGATTAGTTCCTTTAACGTTCCTGATAACGGAAATGATGTCCAGTTTTTTTTTCATAACGGTATCATGTGTTTACTCTGTTAGTTTCTAGGAAACCTTATCGTTATATTTTCCTATAAGATTGAATTAGGAATCTTGTAATTGTTGCATGATTATGTCTTCTGGTTTTAATAGTGCCAACTGCGTATACTAGAGTACCTATTGGTTGTCACCCTTACTTCACAATGCTAAGATTCATCTATCGAATGGCCGAAATGGGCTGTTGTAAAGTATCTCTCGATTGAAAGCCGAGTATCGTTTGTCAACCGTAATGATCTTGGCTTTGAACAGCGTCGGCAAATAATACCCTTGTACTTTCTGTACTGCAGATAATTAATTTGTGGTTTTATACGGAGCGATATGCATGAACTGCTACTGCTAAATGGATTTCGGCAGTCAATTGTTTAAAATGAATGGTACCGCCCTTTAACTTTATTTCAATGCAAGTAATGCATAGTGGGATGATAAATTAATTTTTAAGTTCGTAAATTTCAGACACAAAAGGTAAATATAATTTACATGACAATAATTCTGTTAACATTTATTTTATGTTTGTTTCAGCAACAAAGGACGAGCCAGACGGCGACAGTAGTGAATGTCGCGGGCGACAACAGAACGGTGGTAGTCGGGGCAAGTTACCCTACAACGGCTATTCAGAGGAGTGCCTCGACAGACTCGAGCCCAACGGCAATATACCACATGACAAAGAACCGCATTATGGTGAGTATTTCTTTACTTTTATTGAATTTTTAATATGCTATGGATGAGAGACGCACTCATCGCTCGCATTTCATTTCATTTTACGTAACATTTTTTATGTACACTTGAACATTCAATACGATAGGTTCTTCTATTCTATCTAAGCTCTACGTAAAATCAGAGTTAGGTTTGTGTAATGCTAATGATACGTTTCTAAGTCAACTTAGTGCAGCCAGTGTTCTAGTTATGAAATTAAAATGAAAACGTTAATGTTTTGCAGTTTGGCAACCATCGCTGTAAAGTTGAATTGAGCTGCAAAATTTTAAGCAAATATTTAGTTTGACTGCAAGATATCATCTTGTTCTACATTCAAAGTAATGTTTTTATTTTATGTTCTATATTTTCCAATATGTTTTTTTCCGTGATGCGAACAAAATAAAACTCAAGAGGACTCATTATTTACCAACGACGTATTCTGCCAACTAATGTTGAGCAATTATGCTTCTTTGATAAGTGTTCGTCACAATCTCGTTAATCTCTGTGCCATATACATTTATGAATGTTCACTGTGGTTAACGTTGATTTTGCGTTAGTGTTATTATGCACAATTACGCTCAAACGACTATCTATATGTAAAGTGTGGGCCTTTACTCTTGACACAGCATAAATATGGCAAGGTCTTAATTATGGGTGATTAAAATTAGACCGATGGTGTACACAAGAAACCTCTGCAATATATTGTAATAACAAAATTATGCTGTCTATAAATAACATTTTTTCCATTATTGTACAATGATTGTTTTAACTTTCTAATTCGTGTTCGTGATTTGACATTGATGATTCAGTGAATATTTCTAACGGAGTGCATCAACAGCGTTAAATCCTTAAGAGGGAAGTGAAATAACACTTTTGAAGCAGTTCGTTGTTGTTAGTTTCGTTCATAGTTTACTAAAGGTCGAAATATATTTAACAGAATGTCGAGGCTCCAATCTTGATATGCACACAGCTGATATGCAATAGTAGTTAGCGTCTACATATAATCATAAGGGTATCTCTGTGTATTTCTGCGTGTCTATAGGCACATTTTCGCTTTAATTTATCCTTGACACGCCATTGGCTATTTCAGTCTTATGTTTGTCCGTTGACCGTACACTTAAAGTATGTTTACTTGAAACAACATTCCCTCTGTAGATTTATATAGAAAATAAAGTGTCACCATCGTCTTTGTTATGTCTAGTGAAGTAGCCATTTCTATTGCTTCCTTATCATTTTATTTCGACTGCGAACAATAGAGAATTTGCTTTATAACCTGATATCTTTTGATGGAAACTCATTTCAAGCTTAGAAATATTACGAGTTCCTTACATCAATCCATATAACTACCTACTTGCTTTGTTATCACACAAAATATGTTTAGTCACTTAAATATTGTTTTATTTCATTATTCGGTTCTCTTAGATGTAGGTTTTACGTTCCTCTTTGTTGGTACCCTTTTTAATAAAACCCACATGCCTTTTGACACATGTCAAATAATATTGACGTGGTCTGAAAATAGTTTAGCCAAAGTGCTGTGTCAACTCTTCATGAATAAGAGGGTAGGTTTTCTCTTCTTTTCTGCAAAATAACGGTTTTTGTTGTTTAAAAAAATGACCTTTTTATGAACGAAGTAACAATCACTTTTATCGAGTTCAACCATTTTATCAGTCTAAATTAAAACTGTTTAAGGCCACAACTTTGTTCCGCAATATATAAATTGGACCAGAATAACAGTAATTAGTGGTTGAAAATAGCATTAAAAACAAATACATAGGTACTTTCATACTTATATTATAAACGTTAAAGTGAGTTTGTTTGTTACGCGCTTTCACGCCTAAACCACTTAACCGATTTAAAAAATTCTTTCACTAATTTAAAGCTGGATTATCAGCGAGTAACAGTTACCCGAGCTACTATATTTTTATTGTTATCAGCGCTATATGAGGTTAAAGTGTTCATAATATTTATGTGGCCTCATTGCTATTAAGTTTTTTTTTTAATTTCATGACTGCTTTTGATAAGGTTTTGATATTATTCTCTCAAGTACCACAAAGTGTTAAGTTATGAAGGGTTTTAGAAGTGGGTGCAAAGTGCGTGAATGGGCGTTGTTTTGTCTGATGATTGTCTTAATTTAATAAATAGATTTAAAGAAGACTGATTTTAAGTTGTGGCGTATGATCCAACGTTTACTCTCTTAGAATATGTTATAATTATGCAAATGTTAAATAATCGTTAGCAGTAAACCGAAATATTCTTAATCATAACATCTTAACAGTTTAAAAAACATAACTAACGCTGAAGGAGCAACATTACAGGGTTTTTAATATTATTTTGCGTTGAAAATGTAATAACAGATGCTAATAGGTAATAGTAGTTAGCTAGCTAGCTAATAGGTACAGGTAAGTAGTAGTTTTAAATCTTCTATAGTCTCTTTAGAGTGGTTTTAGATATTAGATTATATTAGATAAATTAAGTGTCAATATTACTGTAAAGTAACTGATTGCACTTGCCAATTAGCCTTGTTTCATGATTTTAATTTCATGCTCATTTTTCCATAAACTGTTAAATTGAATGATGGACTCAATATACCTATTTGCTTCTAGTTTCATTATTACTTTATCGCGGTGTAATTAGTTAATAAATGAAATTTTGTTTTCATAGTTCTTGTTGAATTTAATGAAATATTATCGTAATTCATAATTTACGTGTTCCATACATAAGTTATGAACTAACGGGTTTTCCTATTTTTGGTTATACCCAAAAATATGAAAACCTGTAATTATTTATATTACCTGTATGTATAAATAAATAACTTTATATGGATAAGTCTTAGTGTAGTATATAAGCTTCATGTGAGATAGGGCTTTGTACTATTGCAACTTTTTAACCGGCTTCAAAAGAAAGGAGGAAGTTCTCAATTCGGTTGATTTTTTTGCTCGTTACCTCAGAACCGTATTTGGAATGTGTTTTATTTTTAAAATTGTTTTTAACATTTGACAGGTCACTTTCCTTTTGGTCCCATTAAAGTTTAAAGAAAATTTCATTCCTTAGTTGGCCACCTCTGGAAAATTAAGAAACGAAGTATACAACTTTCTACAACTCATTATTATCCAGGCATATTGAAGCTGGTGATACTTTTTTATCGTCACCAATCGATCGATTACCAAGTTCGATATTTACCAGACAAACATTAATCGACACATATTTAGATTTATTTCCTTTTAAAACACGACACGAACATGATTACATTTCGTGCTTATACATTTTGTTTGTAAATTCCCCTACACAAACATGTTGAAATGAAGCATACAAGCTTGCGGCAGTCTTCGCTGACGTGCTTGTAAATAAACGTAGCTTAGTAAATATCAAACGATGGGCCGACGAAAAATGCTCTAAGTATAGCCATTAAATACATATCAGTTACATGTATCCTTGTGTTGGCAATGAAAATTGAGGAGGACAGGACATTAATTTAACATAAAGTACGAGTACAGTAAACACATCAAGAAAACATTCCTTTGAAATCCTTCAGTGCTTTTTAGTTAATTATGTTTATCAGTATTCTGTAATATACTTCATAACCTACTAGTAAAAAGACGGGCTCACCTCGAATATGTTTATTAGACTGGTAGATTTTGAAGCCTGGAAACATACAAATAATAAATCTTATCACTTCCATTTTTGTAAATTGAAAGTTCATAATAATTAACACAAGGTTTTATATATAAATTATAAGATGAGTATCCGTATCCAGCCGTTGCGCGAAAAACAGCCTCAGGTTTTTTATCACAGCAGGTTACATCTAGTACTTAACTTTAACCGTCTTAGTTTCTGAAAAATTTGTGTTACTTACGGTTGCGAACACTGTGTTTACGATTAAATTAGGACTTTTATTCCTTGCTAAGTATTGAAATTGATTGAACACTTACCTACACATCAGTCTTAAAATTTGAGCATCTGATAGCTAAATTACTTCTTATATGTTCCTGATATTGTTCATTACATGCATAATTGGACGCTTTATTCAGGTACCATTGGATTTGAAACTAATCGAGCTTCGAGTCATTAGAATGTTCCAACATATTATTTAGTAATAGTATTTACCTAAAACTATTTCACCATTTTCTTGACCCACTACTTCTCTAAAACATTTTAGTAACGTAAGTACAAAACTCCCCTTCATGACCACCGCCCACTAGTTTATGTACACAATTTATTGTTTCCCAACTTTAGGGATCTTATAAAACGTCATGAATGAATAAACAACCACGGGGTTGGCTAGAACAAGTGTTTAACGTCAGACGGAGTCTTGTCATGTTATGCTTTTATGTTTGTTTAGTCAGGATTGTTGTTGTATGTTCGTGTTATAACGTTTGTATTTGGAATCAACAAATTGCTCAGGATAGATTTGCTGTGGGTTTACTGTTTAAATATAAAAGTTTTAAACTAAACGAAACAAATTCGACAAAAAAAATCCCATTCTGTTGATTTCCTTAAAGTGAGTTGAGACACATACCAAACATATCTTAATATATGAATGTTTTAATAAAAAGAGATTCTTGATTCTTAAGTGCATTAAAACATTCGTAAACGTGCAGTCATCCTACTTCTCACTAATATTATAAAGGCGAAAGTTTGTATGGACAGAAAGTTTATATGTTACGCTTTCACGCAAAAATCGCTGAACGGATCTGGATGAAATTTGGCACAGAGATAGATTATAGTATGGAATAGCATGAAGGCTACTTTTTATCTCGAAAAAATTGAGTGTTCTCGTGGGATGAGCAAGGTACAACAACAACCGCGGGTAACATACAACCACAGACGTACCATCTTTATTCAGGTTGGCTTTGGGAATTGCACACGACAATAGCATATGTACGCAAGAAATCCATCTGCTCGTCCTGTGTATATGCACTAATGTGTTGACATACGATGACTAAGTCATTCTGTTAATTTAAAAAATAAATATCTTTAATATTGAT